CTGTTGTTATAGTTTTAGCAATTGTTGTAGTTTCAGCAGTTGTAGTTTCGGCAGTTGTAGTTTCAGCAGTTGTAGTTTTAGCAATTGTTGTAGCTTCGACAGCTGTTGTTCTAGTTTCAGCAATTGTTGTAGTTTCAGCAGTTGTAGTTTCTGCAGTTGTTGTAGTTTCAGCAGTTGTAGTTTCGGCAGCTGTTGTTCTACTTTCAGGAGTTGTTGTTGTAGCTTCGGCAGCTGTTGTTGTAGCTTCAGCAGTTGTAGCTTCGGCAGCTGTTGTAGTTTCAGCAATTGTTGTAGTTTCAGCAGTTGTCGTAGTTTCAGCAGTTATAGCTTCGGCAGTTGTAGTTTCAGTAGTTGTTGTAGTTTCAGCAGTTGTAGTTTCGGCAGCTGTTCTAGTTTCAGGAGTTGTTGTTGTAGCTTCAGCAGTTGTTGTAGTTTCAGCAGTTATTGTAGTTTCAGCAGTTGTTATTGCTTCGGCACTCGTAGTTTTAGCAGTTGTAGCTTTGACAGCTGTTGTAGTTTTAGCAGCTGTTATTCTAATTTCAGCACTTGTTGTAGCTTCGGAGGCTGTTGTAGTTCCAGCAGCTGTTGTGGCTTCGGCAGTTATAGCTTCAGCAGTTGTAGTTGTAGCTTCAGCAGTTGTTGTTGTAGCTTCGGCAGCTGTTGTGCTTTCAGCAATTGTTGTAGTTTTAGCAGTTATAGCTTCGGCAGTTGTAGTTTCAGCAGTTGTAGTTTTAGCAGCTGTTGTAGCTTCGGCAGCTGTTGTTATAGTTTCAGCAATTGTTGTAGTTTCAGCAGTTGCTGTAGTTTCGACAGTTGTAGTTTCGGCAGTTGTTGTTTTAGCAATTGTCGTTTCAGCAATTGTAGCTTTAGCAGTTGTAGTTTCGGCAGCTGTTATTCTAGTCTTAGCAGTTGTTGTTGTAGCTTCAGCAGCTGCTGTAGTTCCAGCAATTGTTGTAGCTTCGGCAATTGTAGCTTCGGCAGCTGTTGTAGCTTCGGCAGTTGTTGTTGTAGTTTCAGCAATTGTTGTAGCTTTACCAGTTGTAGTTTTAGTACTTGTTGTAGCTTCGGCAGCTGTTGTAGTTTCAGCAGTTATTGTAGTTTTAGCAGTTGTAGCTTCGGCAGTTGTAGTTTTAGCAGTTGTCGTTGTAGTTTCAGCAGTTGTTGTGGCTTCAGCAGTTGTTGTAGTTTCAGAAGTTGTTGTAGTTTCAACAGTTGTAGTTTCGGCAGCTGTTGATATAGTTTCAGCAGTTGTTATTGTAGCTTTGGCAGCTGTTGTAGTTCCAGCAGTTATTGTAGCTTCGGCAGTTGTTGTAGCTTTAGCAGTTGTTGTAGCTTCGGCAGCTGTTGTAGTTTCAGCAATTATTGTAGTTTCAGCAGTTATTGTAGTTTCAGCAGTTGTAGCTTCGACAGTTGTAGTTTTTGCAGTTGTCGTTGTAGTTTCAGGAGTTGCTGCTGTAGCTTCAACAGTTATTGTAGCTTCAGCAGTTGTAGTTTCAGCAGTTGTAGCTTCAGCAGTTGTACCTTTGGCTGTTGTTTTTTTAGCAGTTGTTGTTGTTGTAGATTCGGCAGTTGTTGTAGTTTTGGCAGTTATTGTTGGGGTTTTGGCGCTTGTTGCTTGAGGTTCGGCGGTTGTTGACAGAGTTTCAGTCAGAGTAGACGTTAGGAGTCCCGCAGCAGTGGTTGGTGAAGTCTCGGCAGTCAACACGGTTGAGGCATGTGTAGAATATGGCGATGTCGTCCAGAGTAGAGTAGAAGGTGACATCGATGTAGACGGCTGAGTAGATGCGCTAGTGATCTGCCGGGTACTTGTTATTTGCAATGTCTGTGGGGGAGTCGACGCTGCTACTGTCTGCGTTGTTGTCTGCTTGGTGCTTTTTAATGTGCTGGACACCTGACCTGACGTGGAGAAAAGACCAGGCGTGGACTGAGCAGTTGTACTGAGCACCGTACTTGTGGTAGAGGGAGCACCAGACGTTGAGACCGTTGTTGCATGGTCTAGTTCCGTAATGGTCTTGACCGATGTTGTCGATGGCAATATCTGTGTTGTCGTCTGCTTGGTGCTTTTTAATGTGCTGGACACCTGACCTGAGGTGGAGAAAAGGCCAGGCGTGGAGGCCGTTGTCGCCTTGCCTGGTTCTGTAGTGCGCTTGGCGGATGTTGTTCCGGTTGTTGTTGGAATTTCGGCAGTTGTTGTAACTTCGGCAGCTGTTGTTATAGTTTCAGGAGTTGTTGTAGCTTTAGCAGTTGTTGTAGCTTCGGCAGCTGTTGTAGTTTCAGCAATTGTTTTAGTTTCAGCAGTTGTAGTTTCAGCAGTTGTTATAGCTTTGGCAGTTGTAGTTTGAGAAGATGTAGTTTCAGCAGTTGTTGTAGCGTCGGCAGCTGTTGTTTTAGTTTCAGCAATTGTTGTAGTTTCAGCAGCTATTGTAGTTTCGGCAGCTGCTGTAGCTTCGGCAGCTGTTGTTGTAGTTTCAGCAATTGTTGTAGTTTGAGAAGCTGTAGTTTCAGCAGTTGTTGTAGCTTCGGCAGCTGTTGTAGTTTCAGCAGTTTTAGCAGTTGTAGCTTCGGCAGTTGTAGTTTTAGCAGTTGTCGTTGTAGTTTCAGCAGTTGTTGTTGTAGCTTCAGTAGTTGTTGTAGCTTCAGCAGTTGTTGTAGCTTCAGCAGTTGTTGTAGTTTTAGAAGTTGTTGTAGTTTCAGCAGTTGTACTTTCGGCAGCTGTTGATATAGTTTCAGCAGTTGTTGTTGTAGCTTTGGCAGCTGTTGTAGTTCCAGCAGTTATTGTAGCTTCGGCAGTTGTTGTAGCTTCGGCAGTTATTGTAGTTTCAGCAGTTGTAGCTTCGACAGTTGTAGTTTCAGCAGTTGTCGTTGTAGTTTCAGGAGTTGTTGCTGTAGCTTCAGCAGTTATTGTAGCTTCAGCAGTTGTTGTAGTTTCAGAAGTTTTAGCTTCAGCAGTTGTACCTTTGGCAGTTGTACTTTTAGCAGTTGTTGTTGTTGTAGATTCGGCAGTTGTTGTAGTTTTGGCAGTTATTTTTGGGGTTTTGGCACTTGTTGCTTGATGTTCGGCGGTTGTTGACAGAGTTTCAGTCAGAGTAGACGTTAGGAGTCCCGCAGCAGTGGTTGGTGAAGTCTCGGCAGTTAACACGGTTGAGGCATGTGTAGAATATGGCGATGTCGTCCAGAGTAGAGTAGAAGGTGACATCGATGTAGACGGCTGAGTAGATGCGCTAGTGATCTGCCGGGTACTTGTTATTTGCGATGTCTGTGGGGGAGTCGACGCTGCTACTGTCATCGAGGTTTCTTTAATAGTTGTAGTAGTGGGAGAGGTAGTGGTGGAAATTTGCTGCGTGCTGGTATACCCTCGTGTACTTTGTTTTTCTGTTGATTCCATGTCGGCTGTTGACATAGGAGTAGTTGTTCTAAAGACTCCGTCGGTTGATATGCTGGATGTGCCTGCTTGGGAAGTACCTTGCTGATGTGTTGATACACCTGTTGATGTATACACAGTCGATAATGGTGGTGGTAAAGTTGTCTGTAATACCGTGGTTGTTCGTTGTGAGGTGCTTGACTGAGTTGTCGCTTTGAGTGCATGACTTGTACTAGATTGTACGACAGAAGTGGTGCTCGTTGTTGCTTGATCTGCATAAGTGGTGTGTTTAGAAGATGGCTGTACTGTTGTGCCTTGTAGAGTAGAAGTGGGCAGCCCTTCTGCCGTTGTCGTTGCAATTTCGGTGGCTGCGGTTGAAAACTGCATAGATGTCAATGGCACAGTATATGGGGATGTTGAAGTAGTGAACTTGGTGGATGGTGTCCTACTAGCGGTCTCCTGAGTAGTCTGTCCACGAGATGTGGTCGAAACTTCTGCAACATCGGTGCTGCCTCTGGCAGATGTTCTCACTGATGCTTCTGTAGATGTCAATAGTTTTTTGGCAGTTGTCGGTGGAGTTCTGTGACCAGCCCTTCTGCTGTTGTTGGCAGAAAATCTAAAGCTTCGCTTGTTGTTGGCAAAATTTCTGTGGTAGTTGTAGGAATGTATGTTGTTTTTATGGGTACCGTAGATGTAGACGTTGTTGTAGACAATTCGGTGGATGCTGCCGAGCTAACTGTTACCGTAGAACCTCCCCAGGAGTGTCTGTGACGTGCTTAACAGTTCTTCTGTTGTTTTCAATGATGGCAAAGTCGATCCTGAAACTGTGGTTGACGTGGCAGTTGTAGTTTTGCGCGGGCTTGTTTCTTCTTGTGTAGATGACATGTCAGTACTTACTAAAGTGTGAGAGGTAGTAGACATTGGTTCAAGTGATGAGCGCTGTGCAGTAGCTGTTGGTGTCAGTCCAACAACTGTAGACTGTGTTGATTGTCCAATCGTGGTGGAAGCTGTAGATGCTAGTATTGTTGCTTGTGTCGTAACTTCTGTACTGGACGCTTGTAATAACGTTGTATGTTTCGTTGTCTGTTCTGCCGTCGTTTCTCCAGGGGTTTTAGAAGGAGACGTTGAAGCAATTTCTGCCGTAGATGTAATCATGACCGCAGTGGTTGGCTGCGATGTCGTGAAAGGTACAGTAGATGGAGAGATTGTCGTGGTGATCTGGGTGGATTGTGTCCTGCCATCAGTCCTCCAAGTACTTGATCCTTGAGATGTCTGTGCGGAAATAGGAGTAGACATGCTCGAAAGTTTTTCAACTGCTGTTGATGGTAAATATGTTGTAACTGGAAGAGGCGTGGTAGCTGGAATTCGCTGTGTGGTTGTCTCTTCGCTTGTAGATGCCGTATTAGTGCTTGACATAATTAACGATGTGTGAGAGGTAGAGGGTATTGTTCGATGTGATGTGCCAGGTGTACTTATTTTGATGTCTGCCCAGCAGTCTTGGAAGTCGATGCAATTGTTGTTTCTTGTTTTGTAAGTTGTGTCAAAGTGCTTAACACTGGTAGTAACGATGCTTGTGTTGATGTTAGTTTGGTACTGCCATACTGCGATGTGTTAGGAAGAGTACTTGTTATTAGTACCTGACTAGTAGAGGCAACAACAGAAGTTGGAAATGTTGTCTCCTCAGTAGAAGTGGTGAGTCTGGCTGATTTTGTCACTGTTTCATCTGTTACAATAGATGTTAGTAGCCCTTCTGTTGCTGTTGTCAGGAACTCTGTTGTAGATGTTGATGTTGGAAGTTTGGTAGATATAAAGGGTTCGGTGAATGTGGCTTTTGCTTCAGTTGAAAGTTGTGTCGATGTAGAGGATTCGGTAGATGTTGATTTTGCTACAGTTGGAAGTTGTGTCGAAGTGAAGGGTTCAGTAGATGTAGTTTCTGCTTCAGTTGGAAGTTGTGTCGAAGTGAAGGGTTCAGTAGATGTAGTTTCTGCTACAGTTGGCAGCTGTGTCGATATGGAAGGTTCAGTAGATGTGGTTGTTACTTCAGTTGGAAGTTGTGTTGATGTAAAGGGTTCGGTATATGTAGCTTTTGCCTCCGTCGGAAGTTGTGTCGCTGTATAGGGTTCCGTAGGTGTGTATTTTGTTGTAGTCGGAAGTTGTGTCGATGTAGACAGTTCTGTAGATGTAGTCTCTGCTACTGTTGGAAGTTGTGTCGACATGAAGGGTTCGCTAGATGTGGTTTTTGCTTCAGTTAAAAGTTGTGTCGATGTGAAGGGTTCAGTAAATGTAGTTTCTGCTTCAGTTGGCAGCTGTGTCGACATGAAAGGTTCGCTAGGTGTGGTTTTTGCTTCAGTTAAAAGTTGTGTCGATGTATAGGGTACAGTAGATGTGGTTGTTACTTCAGGTGGAAGTTGTGTCGATGTAAAGGGTTTGATAGATGTAGCTTTTGCTTCCGTTGGAAGTTGTGTCGGTGCATAGGGTTCCGTAGGTGTGTATTTTGTTGTAGTCGGAAGTTGTGTCGATGTAGACAGTTCTGTAGATGTGGTCTCTGCTACTGTTGGAAGTTGTGTCGACATGAAGGGTTCGCTAGATGCGGTTTTTGCTTCAGTTAAAAGATGTGTCGATGTAAAGGGTTCGGTAGATGCGGTTTTTACTTCAGTTGAAAGTTGTGTCGATGTAAAGGGTCCACTAGACGTGGTTTTTGCTGTAGTTGGAAGTTGTGTCGAATTTAAGGGTTCAGTAGATGTAGTTTCTGCTTCAGTTAGTAGCTGTGTCGACATGAAAGGTTCACTAGATGTGGTTTTTGCTTCAGTTGAAAGTGGTTTCGAAGTAAAGACTTCTGTAGATGCGGTTTTTGCTTCAGTTGGAAGTTGTGTCGAAGTAAAGACTTCTGTAGATGCGGTTTTTGCTTCAGTTGGAAGTTGTGTCGATGTAAAGGGTTCAGTAGATGTTGATTTTGTTACAGTTGGAAGTTGTGTCGAAGTGAAGGATTCAGTAAATGTAGTTTCTGCTACAGTTGGCAGCTGTGTCGATATGAAGGGTTCAGTAGATGTAGTGCCTGCTTCAGTTGGCAGCTGTGTGGACATGAAAGGTTCGCTAGATGTGGTTTTTGCTTCAGTTAAAAGTTGTGTCGATGTATAGGGTACAGTAGATGTGGTTGTTACTTCAGGTGGAAGTTGTGTCGATGTAGAGGGTTCAGTAGATGTTGATTTTGCTACAGTTGGAAGTTGTGTCAAAGTGAAGGGTTCAGTAGATGTAGTTTCTGCTACAGTTGGCAGCTGTGTAGACATGAAAGGTTCACTGGATGTGGTTTTTACTTTAGTTGAAAGTGGTTTCGAGGTAAAGACTTTTGTATATGTGGTTTTTGCTTCAGTTGGAAGTTGTGTCGATATGAAGGCTCCAGTAGATGTAAATTTTGTAGTAGTTGAAAGTTGTGTCGAAGTGAAGGGTTTGGTGGATGTAGTTTTGCTTCCGTTGGACGTTGTGTTGATATGAACGGTGCGGGAGATGTGGTTTTGGCTTCAGTTGAATGTTGTGTTGATGTAAAGGGTTCGGTAGATGTGGGTTTTACTTCGGTTGAAAGTTGTGTCGATGTAAAATATTTGGTAGTTGTAATTCTTGCTGTAGTTGGAAGCTGTGTCGATGTAAATGATTCGGTAGATGTTAATTTTGCTGCAGTTGGAAGTTGTGTCGAAGTGAAGAGTTCAGTAGATGTAGTTTCTGCTACAGTTGGCGACTGTGTCGATATGGAGGGTTCAGTAGATGTAGTTTCTACTTCAGTTGGAAGTTGTGTCGAAGTGAAGGGTTCAGTAGATGTAGTTTCTGCTTCAGTTGGAAGTTGTGTAGACACGAAAGGTTCACTGGATGTGGTTTTTGCTTCAGTTGAAAGTGGTGTCGATGTAAAGGATTCGGTAGATGCTGTTTTTGCTTCAGTTGAAAATTGTGTCGATGTAAAGGGTTCAGTAGATGTAGACGCTACTACTGTTGCTTGTGTAGTTAGTTTCGCCAAAGTGCTGAACGATGGCGATAATGTTGTTTGTGTTGGTACCTGTTCAGTGCTCGTTTTTTCTGATGTTCTAGATCGAGAAGTTGTTTCAAATACCTGACTTGTAACACCAGACGTAGAAACCGTTGTCAGTTTGTCTGCATTGGTGCTTCGTCTTGTTGTTTCTGTCAAAGTAGATGTGAGCAGCCCTTCTGTTGTTGGTGCAGTTGTAGTGGCAGCCGCGGTTGCTTGTACGGTTGGTAGTGGCGTTGTTGTCGGAACTGCGGTGGTCAGTGTGGTTGATGGCGCCCTACTAGTTGTCGATAGTGTACTTCTTTCACTAGATTGCTGTAGGGAAATATGAGCGAGTGTAGGCGAAACGGTTTCAAATAGTGTCGAAGGTATGGTTGACTTTGTAATGGAGGATGCTGACATAGTGGACTGGGTTGTTTTGTCCTGTCTGCCCTCATTTTGTGTAGATGTCATGTCAGTGTTTGACGATGTTGATGATGCTTTAAATGAGGTATAGATGGGTCTCTGTGTAGTACCTTGTGATGTGAGCCCCAAAGAAACAGACTGTGTTGGATGTTCTAGTGTTGTTAAGTCAGATTGAGCAGTTGGGGTAGGTGTAGGGTGTTTGGTGCTGGTAAGTTGCGATGCGTTAAATAGAGTACGTGTTCTAAATACCTGACTTGCTGTGGAGGTGGAATCAGATGTGTAGGCTGTTGTCCCTCGGTCTACATCGGTACTGCGTCCGGTAGTCCTTTGCGCTGTCGTGGTGTGTATTAACGTAGATGTGGGTACCCCTGGAGCCGTCGTTGGTGTGATCAATGTGGATGCAGATGCAGCTGACTGTAGGGTGCTTGTCGAGGGTACTACAGATGTAGGGATTTCCGTAGGTAGCTTAGTGTATGTTGGTCCACTGTTGGTTTTTTGAGTACTTGAAAATACATGTGTGGAGATATAAGTTGACGCACTGGATACGTCTTGTGGTGTTGTTGGTAGCAAGGTCGAACGTGAAATTGTAGAGGGCATAGTAGTTAAAATACGATGTGTGCTTATATCCTCTTGTGTTCTTATTTGCTTTGTAGATGTCACCGCAGGTGTTGGCGAAATTGATGATCTGATAGAGGTGGGAGTAAATGTAGTAGTTTGATGCGATGTACGAGTTGGAGTCAGGGGGTTCATAGTGGACTGGCTTGGTGTAGCTATTGTACTAGCCACTGTCGTGGCACTTTCTGGTGAAGATTTTGTGGATGACAATTCAAGTGTGCTTGTCTGTCCTGCAGATGTACCATAAACGGTTGTCTGTTCAAGAGTCGATGTCACAGTACTTTGATCTGTTGTTGCCGGCACTGTACGGACCGTGGTTCTTGGCAAGGTTGTACTTTGACCAGCAGGTGTAGATGGTGCACCTGTAGTGGATAGGATATATGTACTTGGGTTGCCTGTGGTCGATTTTGTACCAGTGGTGGAATGTCCTGTAGTCGCCACAACAGTAGAAAGACCTTCTGTCGTGACAAGGATTGTGCTTGTGACACTTCCTGTCGTGGCGGAAGACGAACCATATGTGGTCGGCCTCTGCGTCGAGGTACTTGCCACGGTTGTCTCTGCCAAGGAAGGCGTCAAAGTACTTTGCTCTGTTGTTAACTGCACAGTTGTTCTTTGTATCTTCGTACTTTGCTGTGCTGGTGTTGATTGAAAAAGTGTTGTCGTCTCTGTTGTTATACTAGGCAGCGATGTCTTTCGTACGGATGACGTCAAAGTGCTTTGGTCTGTTGTTACCTTCATTGTGGGAACGTTTGTTCCTTGCGCAGTCGTACTTTGCTGCATTGTGGTAGATTGAGAAATCGTTGTCGGATGGACTGAAGATGTTAAACTAATAGTTGTTGAGCTTAGTCCGGTGGTTGTGCCAGTTGATGAATAAGCTGTAGACTGTTCACTAGTTGAACGGCCCTCAGATGTGCTGAAAAGAGTGCTTGTAGCACTCTCCGTTGAGGATTTTGTGGATGACAATTCAAGTGTGCTTGTCTTCCCTGTAGTTGTGCCGGGAACGGTTGTCGGTTCAATAGTCGATGTCACAGTGCTATGATCTGTTGTTGCGGGCACTGTACGGACAGTGGTTCTTGGCAAGGTTGTACTTTGACCGGCCATTGTAGATGGTGCACCCGTAGTGGATATGATTAATGTACTTGGGCTGCCTGTGGTCGATGTAATACCAGTTGTTGCACCAATTGTGGAATGTCTTGTACTCTCCAAAGCGGTAGAATGACTTTCCGTGGTGACACCGACTGTGCTTGTGGCACTACTTGTTGTCGTAGATCCAAATGTTGTAGGCATCTCCGTTGTTGTACTCGGCACTGTTGTGTCATCCAAGGAAGAGGCCAAAGTACTTTGAGCTGTAGTTAACACCACTGTGGGACCTTTTGTTCTTTGCGCAGTCGTACTTTGCTCTTCTGTTTTAGATGGAGAAATCGTTGTCGAACGGAATGATGTTGTTGATCTACTATTTGTCGAGGTTATTCTGGTGGTTGTGCCCGTTGACGAATAAGCTGTAGACTGTTCACTAGTGGAATGGGCCTCCGACGTGCTGAAAAGAGTGCTTGTAGCACTTTCTGTTGAGGATTTTAGGGATGACAATTCAAGTGTGCTGGTGTGCCCTGTAGTTGTACCAGGAAAGGTTGTCTCCTCAATAGTCGATGTCACAGTACTTCGATCTGTTGTTCCCGGCACTGTACGGACAGTGGTTCTTGGCAAGGTTGTACTTTGACCAGCAGGTGTAGATGGTGCACCTGTAGTAGATAGGATATATGTACTTGGGCTGCTTGTGGTAGATGTAATACCATATGTTGTACCAGTGGTCGAATGTCCTGTAGTCTCCACAACGGTAGACGGTCCTTCCGACGTGACAACGACTGTGCTTGTGGCACTACTTGTTGTCGTGGATCCAAATGTTGTAGGTATCTCCGTTGTTGTACTCGGCACTGTTGTCTCTGCCAAGGAAGAGGCCAAAGTGCTTTGAGCTGTAGTTGCCAGCACAGTGGGAACGTTTGTTTTTTGCGCAGTCGTACTTTCTTGTACCGGTGTAGACCTAGAAAGTATTGTCGGCTCTGCTGTTGTACTAGCAAGGGTTGTCTCTGCCAAGGAAGAGGCCAAAGTGCTTTGCTCTGTTGTTAACACCACTGTTGGACCTTTTGTTGTTTGCGCAGTCGTACTTTGCTCTTCTGTTGTAGATGGAGAAATCGTTGTCGAACGGAATGATGCTGTTGAACTACTACTTGTTGCGCGTAGTCCGGTGGTTGTGCCTGTTGACGAATAAGCTATAGACTGTTCGCTAGTTGAACGGCCCTCAGATGTGCTGAAAAGAGTGCTTGTAGCACTCTCCGTTAAGGATTTTGTGGATGATAATTCAAGTGTGCTTGTCTGTCCTGTAGTTGTACCAGGAACGGTTGTCTGTTGAAGAGTCGATGTCACAGTGCTTCGATCTGTTGTTGCCGGCACTGTACGGAAAGTTGTTCTTGGTAAGGTTGTACTTTGACCAGCAGGTGTAGATGGTGCACCTGTAGTGGATAGGATATATGTACTTGGGCTGCTTGTGGTAGATGTAATACCATATGTTGTACCAGTGGTCGAATGTCCTGTAGTCTCCACAACGGTAGAAGGACCCTCAGTCGTGACACTGGTTGTGCCCCTGGCACTACTTGTCGTGGCAGAAGTAGATGCAAATGTGGAAGGCGTTTCTGTTGTAATAGTTACAGTTGTCTCTGCCAAGGAAGGCGTCACAGTGCGTTGCTCTGTTGTTACTAGATCTGTGGGAACGTTTGTTCTTTCCGCTGTCGTACTTTTCTCTGCAGTTGTAGATTGAGAAATAGTTGTGGAATGGACTGAAGCTGTTGAGCTATTAGTTGTCGAGCTTAGTCCTGTGGTTGTGCCAGTTGACGAAAACACTGTAGACTGTTCAGTAGTTGAAAGGCCCTCAGATGTGCTGAGAAGAGTGCTTGTGGCACTTTCTGTTGAGGATTTTGTGGATGACAATTCAAGTGTGCTTGTCTTCCCTGTAGTTGTACCAGGAACGGTTGTCTGTTGAAGAGTCGATGTCACAGTGCTTCCATATGTTGTTGCTGGCACTGTACGGAAAGTGGTTCTTGGCAAGGTTGTACTTTGACCAGCAGGTGTAGATGGTGCACCAGTAGTAGATAGGATATATGTACTTGGGCTGCTTGTGGTAGATGTAATACCATATGTTGTACCAGTGGTCGAATGTCCTGTAGTCTCCACAACGGTAGAAGGACCCTCAGTCGTGACACCGGTTGTGCCCCTGGCACTACTTGTCGTTGCAGAAGTAGATGCAAATGTGGAAGGCGTTTCTGTTGTAATAGCCACAGTCGTCTCTGCCAAGGAAGGCGTCACAGTGCTTTGCTCTGTTGTCACCTGTACTGTGGGAACGTCTGTCCTTTCAGCAGTCGTACTTTTCTCTGCCGTCGTAGA